GGCAACTTGGCGAGACCTCATCTCTACAATAAATAAAAAAATTAGCCGGGCGTGGTAACGTGTGCCTGTAGTTCCAGCTACTTGGAAGGCCGAGGCAGCAGGATCGCCGGAGCCCAGCAGGTCGAGGCTGCGGTGGATGGGAGCGGCCACTGCACTCCAGTCTGGGCGACAGAGTGAGACTCCAACTCAAAAAAAAAAAGGGGTGCACTAGTACCAGTAAGACTTTGCTAAAAGGTATTTTTACACTCAGGGCTCTATAGTATTAACAGTAATCATAGATACTATCATTTATTGATCATTTACTGTGTTCCAGACACTGTGCTAAGATTTTTGTGTAATCCTCACAATAGCACTAGGACATATGCTCAAAATGGTTAACTTGTCTAAGGTTGTGTTAGCATTACTGACGCAGTACTCAAATCCAGATCTCTTGGACTCCAAAGCTCATGCTCCTAACCTTTGGTGTGTTTGATTATAAGTTCGTGCCGGGTACAGTGGCTCATGCCTGTAATCCCAGCACTTTTGGAGGCAGAGGTGAGAGGATTGCCTGAGCCCAGGGGTTCGAGACCAGCCTGGGCAACTTGGCGAGACCTCATCTCTACAGTAAGTAAAAAAATTAGTCAGCCATGGTGGCTCATGCCTATAGTTCCAGCTACTTGGAAGGCTGAGGTGAAAGGACCACCCACGCCCTGAAGGTCGAGGCTGTGATGGCCATGATCCTGCCACTGCACTCCAGCCTGGGTGACAGAGTGAGACTCCAACTCAAAGAAAAGAAAAGAAAAAGATTATAAGTTCCTTGAATCGTGCATGAACCTCAAGGGCCTCCTAGTTTATCCTGTTTGACTTTTGAGTACCCACACCAAAGATGGGGTCATAGCCCTGACTTGTGGGGTTAGAATTTGGGTATTGACTTATTCTCCTGCTTTTCAAGATTAAAAAAAATGATAGACTTTATGTACATAATGCTTTGCATTTTGCAAAGCTTTTTCATATGTCTTAATTGACTCTCGTAGCATCAGTTTGTTCTGCAGACTGAAGATATCACTGCTTTTTGCAAGCCACCTCTGACTCCGGGAAATGAGTCAGGTGCCAGTTTTTGCGATGACATTTCATGCTCCCTCACGTTATATCTCTTATCCACACTGTAATATAATTACCTATTTACTTACCTGTCTTCCCCTCTAGAGTACAAACTCCTCAAGGGCAAGAAATGTTCCATTCCCTATTGCTTTCCATCACCTATGAGTAGCACATAATGGACATTCCATGAATTCCAGTTACTTAATTATTTTTGTAATAGAGAAGACATTGATAGGAAAAGGTTCTTCTTAGCCCTCTTGCCATCCTAATACAGTTCTTTTTCCGTAGAACAAACGAAAGAAGAGAAAGAAGAAGAAGAAAATTCTAGACCAGGCCACTGCTTCTGGTAATGTCCCATATAGCCCAGAGGAAGCCGAGGCTGTGTGGCCAGCCCTTGTTGAGCAACTACAGTGCTGTGCCCAGGTAGGTGGTTACAGAAACCCTGTCTTTCTTGAGGATAGTGCTCTGGGTAGACAGTCTGGGTTTTCCTCCCCATCTACTCCCATAACCTTATCCATCTCTAGAATCCTGAGCTCAGTGTAGACTCCATGGTTCCCTTTGACGCGGCCTCAGAAGTGCCAGTGGAAGAGCAGCGGGCAGAAGCCATGGTGCGGATCCAAGACTGTCTCCTGGCTGGCCAGGCCCCACAAGCCCTGACCCTTCTGAGATCAGCCCGGTAAGAACCCTGCCCAGCCATCCTCCTGGGCTTTGGGAACCAGGGAGGCCATCATTATGGTTCAGGGTTCTCAGTCATCAAAAAAGAGGCATCCCATCAGAGCCTCTGGGACTCCATGCTGAGCACTGACTCCTGGGGAGTTTTGACTTTTTTGTTTGCTTGTTTTTAAAAAATACCAAAAAGCACGGTTAATTGGGGGGAAAAATAAGCTATAAGTCCTCAGTGTCATTGATAAGTTCTTAGAAACTGACTTTAAACAAAATGACATACAGCAGGTCCTCTAATAATGTCATTCTCAGCCGGGCTCGGTTTCTCAGCCTATAATCCCGCGTATTTGGGAGGCTGAGGTGAGTGGATTGCCTGAACCCGCGGGTTCGAGACCCGCCTGGGCAACTTGGTGAGACCTCATCTCTACAATAAATCAAAAATCAGCCGGGCATGGTAGCGCACGCCTGTAGTTCCAGCTACCCGGAAGGCTGAGGCGGAAGGATCGCCGGAGCCCAGCAGGTTGAGGCTGCGGTGGCCGGGAGCGGCCACTGCACTCCAGTCTGGGCGACAGAGTGAGACTCCAACTCAAAAAAAAAAATGTCATTCTCCTTATAGCGTTATGAGGAAAAACTTAGTTTTGTTATACACTGTTTTGCTTAAAGTCGCAGTTTCCAAGAACTTGTTGACAACATTAAGTGAGGGCTTCTGTAATTGTAGTAGCCCAAGATAAATATTATTTTCAGGAGTAACCTTCAGAGTTTTTTTCTCCATTATATGTAGAAATATCATATATTTCTTACAAAAATGAAATCAGCACATACTGATTTTAAGTTTTCCCTTCTCAGTGAGCATAATTTCTCATCAGATGTATTTCTGTAATTGTTAATGGCTTTTTTTTTTTTTTTTTTTTTTGAGTTGGAATCTCACTCTGTCGCCCAGACTGAAGTGCAGTGGCCGCTCCCAGCCACCGCAGCCTCGACCTGCTGGGCTCCGGCGATCCTTCCGTCTCAGCCTTCCTAGTAGCTGGAACTACAGGCGCGCTATCATGCCCGGCTAATTTTTGATTTATTGTAGAGATGAAGTCTTGACCAAGTTGCCCAGGCGGGTCTCGAACCTGCGGGCTCAGGGTTAATGGCTTTAAGACACAGTTGTGTGAATGTGTACATTTCCTCAACGAGGTGTTATACATTTAAATTGGTTGCATTTTGTTCTCATATGATTTTTATTACACTGTGGCTTATGATGAAAAGTTTTCCTAGAGTCTTTGTTTCATCTCTGAGATAACGTTTGCAATCTCTTTCTGGCTGTCAAATGAAATAAGTCTGAATTCCTTCTCCCACTTCAAAGTCTCCTCTAGTTAAAGCCTTTTTCTGTCTGTGCTCCAGGGAGGTATGGCCAGAAGGAGATGTGTTTGGCCCTCAAGACATTTCCCCAGAGGAAGAGGTCCAGTTGCTGAAACAGATCCTCTCTGCTCCGCTTCCCCGTGAGTCTCCATTTCTTCACATCTGTTCCCCTTCCAGCTCTTGTCCCGCACCAGCAAGACAGAGACCCAGTAATCCTCACTCTATCTATAGGGCAGCAGGGGCCAGAGGAACGAGGGGCAGAGGAAGAAGAGGAAGAAGAGGAGGAGGAAGAGGAGGAGTTGCAAGTGGTCCAGGTGTCGGAGAAAGAATTTAATTTTCTGGACTACCTGAAACGGTGCGGGTCGAGAGGACTCATTTGGTCCCAGGGTGGTGATTGTGCAGCTGTGAGGATGAGCAGTGTCCTTATGCCGACGTCCTTTCCCTCCCTGTTTTGGCGCAGCTTTGCATGTTCAACTGTTGTCCGAGCCTACGTGCTGCTGCTGCGGAACTACCAACAGAATAGTGCTCACACCAACCACTGTGTTGTCAAGATGCTGCACCGACTGGCCCACGACCTCAAAATGGAAGCTCTGCTTTTTCAGCTCTCAGTCTTCTGTCTCTTCAATCGTCTGCTGAGTGACCCAGCTGCTGGAGCCTACAAAGTTAGGGGATACCAAGGAATGAGGGTCTGGCAGGGCATGGGAATCCAGGGGTAAACGGATAATCTTCAGGGGATAAAGGATGCTGAGAGGTATCGAGGGCTGGAAGATGAGAAAGGCGAGGAAGTAGGCAGACAGGTCAAGGAAGCTGCCTGGAAAGGACAGAAGAGAGAGTCTGAATGAGGAGGGAGCAGCTGGGAACAGATACTGAAAAAATACCTAGAGGGCCAGGTTGTGTGTACATTGGGCCAGAGGCTTCATAGCAGCCTCCCTCTCCTACAGGAGCTTGTGACTTTTGCCAAATACATCCTTGGCAAGTTCTTTGCACTGGCTGCAGTCAACCAAAAAGCCTTTGTGGAGCTGCTGTTCTGGAAGAACACAGCTGTGGTTCAAGAGATGACCGAGGGCTATGGTTCCCTGGATGGCCGGTGAGCTTGCGATGGGGAAGGACGGGTGGTAGGGGACGGTGGTGCAGAGTCACAGAGTGTCAAAGCTATAAGAGCTTACTTGCAGATCATTTAGTCTCATGTTTCTTTCCTATCGTAGGAGAGAAAACAGGCCCAGGAGGTGAAGTGTTTTACCTAAAGTCATCCGAGAGAGGAACAGGGACTAGAATCTAAGTCTCCTGTCTACTCTACTTTCCTTCTCCTTCACCATTCTTCATACAGGAACACTGTTGGCCGTGGAGTGGCCCCCCCAGAGAGCCCAGAGAGAGTTTGTGTGTGACCTTTTCCAAAATGTGCTTGGAAACCATAAGGGTTTATACAAATATTTGTTGTCTTTCCCATAGTGTCTCATCTTCCCTCCTTTTTTTTTTTTTTTTGAGTCAGAGTCTCACTCCTGTCACCCAGACTGGAGTGCAGTGGCACGTTCACAGCCACCACAGCCTTGACCTGCTGAGCTCAGGCAATCCTTCTGCCTTAGGGGTCCTGAAACTACAGGCGCACACCACCTTGCCTGGCTAATTTGTTTGATTTATTGTAGAGACAAGGTCTCACCAAGTTGCCCAGGCTGGCCTTGAACCCCTGGGCTCAGGCAGTCCTCTTACTCTGCCTCCCGGATTTTTTTTTTTTTTTTTTTTGAGTCAGAGGCTCACTCTGTCGCCCATGCTGGAATGCAGTGGCATGCTCATGGCCACCACAGCCTCAACCTGCTGGGCTCAGACAATCCTTCTGCCTCAGTCTTCCAAGTAGCTGGAACCACAGGTGCACACCACCATGGCCAGTTAATTTTTTTATTTATTGTAGAGATGAGGTCTTGCCAAGTTGCCCGGGCTGATCTCAAACCCCCAGACTCAGGCAATCCTCTCACCTCCACCTCCCAAAGTATTGGGATTACAGGCATGAGCCACTGCACCTGGCTCCCCTCTTTTCATATTTCTCTCTTTTTTCTATAATATTCTCAGTTCCTGGAGTGTCGGGTTCCATAGACCTAACCTAGAAAATCTCTTCGTTTGACTTTTGGGTTCTTAAGTGGAAGGAGGAAGAGGAAGGAAACGCAGCATAGTCTCTGTTAGCTGGCTCTTTTGAGCTACCTGCCTCGCGTGTCTTGTTCCTTTCAGAACTGATCAGAGAGGGCCTTTGGGCTGCTCTTTTTGGGCCAAGAAGCTACATGCTGTCCTTCCCCTTTCATCATTTAGATCTTCTGGTCGCAGAGCCCCGACGTGGAGCCCAGAGGAGGAGGCTCATCTGCGGGAACTGTACCTTGTCCATAAGGATGTGGAAGGTGTGAGGCCCTGACATCTGAGGAGTTCCTGAGGAGGGCAGCCTGAGCTCCAGGACCCCTCTTGACTGCCTCACTCCTTCTCCACCCCAGGTCAAGATGTGGTGGAAGCCATATTGGCACAGCTGAATACTGTTCCTCGAACACGCAAGCAGATCATCCACCATCTGGTACGACTGGGATTGGCTGACAGCGTTAAGGACTTCCAAAGGTAGAGGCACATGATTTGGAGGGAACTGGGATGGGGAATCCTTTGTCCATTTCCTGGGCCTCCTCTGACACCTCCCGAAACAGGAAAGGAACCAATGTTGTCCTGTGGACAGAGGACCAAGAGCTGGAGCTGCAACGACTTTTTGAGGAGTTCCAGGACTCAGATGGTAAGTGAGGAGAAAGCTCAGGGAGCCTCTGGGATGACAACCAAGCTGTCGATTTCTTTTTCCTCTGCCTCTTATTCCTCAGGAAAGATGATCCCATCCCTTCTGTCCTCTTAACCATATTTGTGTCATTTTTGACCTCTGATTTATTTTATTAATCCCTTCCTCCATTGCTCTTGGATATTCACACGTTTCCTCTTTATAGAAGTCCTGAGTCATATCATGAAGAATATCACAGCCAAACGCTCACGGGCCCGAATAGTGGATAAACTGTTGGCTATGGGTTTGGTGGCTGAGCGACGGGAGCTGTACAAGAAACGGCGCAAGAAGTTGGCACCCTCCAGCTTGGTAACAATCTCACACTGGCCCTGCTGGCTTGGGCCAACTCTCCTTGAAGTGCACCTTAGAAGTCGCCCACCCAGATTCTTCTGCCCAAGGCTGTTCTAACTGGGTCCCTCCAGTGGGGTGGTCAGGAACCAGAAGACTCCAATAAGTTCCTCGTGTTGCCTTCATTCTCATTCCCCCCTCCCCCCAATCAATTTTAGCCCAATGGAGAGGAGCCCCTGAAAGGTTTTGGCCAGGAAGACCTAGAAGAAGAGGAAGAGAGTGAAGAGGGAGAGGAAATAGGGGAGGACTCGGAAACAGAGCAAGCCCAGGGTAGCTCAGTGCTTTCAACTGAAAACCTTGGTCAAAGCCTGCATCAGGAAGGTAAGGACTTGAGCTGGGAGAGGTGTCTCAGGTGGAGAGGTAGGGGCCAAATGGAAATTTTCTTCTTTCTCTTAGGCTTTTCTACTCCCCTTCTGTGGCTCCAGAACTGCCTGATCCGAGTAGCAAATGATCGGGAAGAGGACGGTGAGTGGGCAGATGAGAGTTTTAGGAGGGCCAAAGCACTGGAGGATGCTGGACACCTGGTCATAGGATAGAGGACCAGTTCTTTGTTCACATCTTCACTCTGTGACTATTGACTCTGTCCTAGGCTGCTCCCAGGCAGTTCCGTTAGTGCCGCTGTCAGAGGAAAATGAGGAAGCGATGGAAAATGAACAGTTTCAGCAGCTGTTGCATAAACTTGGGGTTCGGCCCCCAGCCTCCGGACAGGTAAATACACCAGTTTGTCAGCTAAGGCCTGTTGATCCTATTTCAAGATACATCTTCTGGATATGAGGGCAATCTGGCTGCGACATCTGTCACCCTACTAATCGCCAGGGTTGATTTGGCTGATCTGGCTGACTAGATGGTGTCCTCTTCCTCCCTCACTGCTCCATATGTGTCCCCATCGAGCTGTGTGTTCAGTCAAAGAGGATGACTTTGCCTGATAAAATTCTTTGGTCATGGGTATACAAGTAGCTGCACTCTCCTGCTAGAACCTCCAAACATGGCTCTCAAAATACATCTCCTTCTCCTCATTATCTTGTGATCTCTGTCCTCATTGTTATCTTAGTCCTCCTTGCTGCCTTGTCATCTCTGATCAAGACTCCTGCTGGTCTTTTTGTCTCTTTGATCCTCCCTTCCCCTAAATCCGTCTTCGATCCTGCTCTCAGATTTATCTTCCTAAAATATAGTTTTGATTTCAGCCGTCTTTCGGGAACCGAGTAGGATTGGTTCCAGTATCCCTCCCTAAGTATACAAATCTGTGGCTACTCAAGTTCCTTATCGTAGAATTTGCGTGTAACCCACTCACATATCCCCATATACTTTAGATCCCCATATACTCTAGATTTCTTATAATACCTACACAATGTAAATGCTATGTAAGTAATTGTTAACTGTATTCAAATTGATTGAGTTATTGAGTTGAACTCTGTCGCCCAAACTGGAGTGCAGTGGCATGCTCACAGCCACCCCAGTGTCGACCTGCTGGGCTCAAGCGATCCTTCTGCCTCAGCCTGCCAAGTCACCAGAACTACAGGCACATGCTACCATGCCCAGCTAATTTTTTTATTTTATTGTAGAGATGAGGTCTCACCAAGTTGCCCAGGCTGTTCTTGAACCCATAGACTCAGGAAATCCCTTCACCTTGGCCTCCCAAAGTGCTGGGATTTTAGGCTTGAACCACTGTGCCTAGGTTTTTTTTTTTTTTTTCTTTTTTTTTTTTTTGAGTTGGAGTCTCACTCTGTCACCCAAACTGGAGTGCAGTGGCCACTCCCTGCCATAGCAGCCTCGACCTGCTGGGCTCCGGCAATCCTTCTGTCTCATTCTTCCAAGTAGCTAAAACTACAGGCATGCGCTACCACGCCCGGCTAATTTTTTGATTTATTGTAAAGATGAGGTCTTGCCAAGTTGCCCAGGCGGGTCTCGAACCCGCAGGCTCAGGCAATCCATTCATCTCAGCCTCCCAAAGCGCAAATTACAGGCTGAGTCACCGAGCCCGGCTTCTTTTTTTTTTTTTTTTTTTGAGTTGGAGTCTCACTCTGTCATGGCCACCGCAGCCTCGACCTGCTGGGCTCAGTTGATCCTTCCTCCTCAGCCTTCCAAGTAGCTGGAACTACAGGCATATACCACCATGCCCAACTAGTTTTTTATTTATTGTGGAGATGAGATCTCGCCAAGTTGTCCAGGCTGAGCTTGAACCTGAGGGTGCAGGCAATCCTCTCGCCTCTGCCTTCCAAAGTGCTGGAATTATAGGCATGAACCATTGCACCTGGCATTTTTTGTTATTTTATTGGAGTTTTTTTCTCTGAATATTTTTGCTACAGAGGACTAGCTGTATATCACTCCCCTTTCCAGAGCCCTTGATTGTCCCTTCCTGCTTGCAGGACAGAATACACAACTTCAACTGGCATGCCCATCCTTGGGCAGCCTTTGCAACCTCACAATCATGCCACCCACACACCTCTTTAGTCACCTGAAGGACTACTTTCCATCCTTCAAACGGTAGGTTTTTTTATGCCTCCAAACGGATAATCATGCCAGCCTCTCAATAGGAAGGCTACAGCCATCCACACCAGGTTACATATGTATGCACACCCTACCTGTCTTCCTGATGAACCTCTACCCAGGTGTCATCTAGAGAAACAGATCCTGCAATTCTTTCAACCCCTGAAATAAAATAATCACTTTGTCAGCTGGGATTTGTTAATTCCTTTGATACAGCCTCAATCCTATGGTATTACAGCACATTCATTCTTTCTTTTTTTTTTTTTTTTGAGTTGGAGTCTCACTCTGTCGCCCAGACTGGAGTGCAGTGGCCGCTCTCGGCCACTGCAGCCTCGACCTGCTGGGCTCCAGCGATCCTTCCGAGTAGCCGGAACTACAGGCGCGCACTACCACACCTGGCTGATTTTTTTATTTATTGTAGAGATGAGGTCTCGCCAAGTTGCCCAGGCAGATCTTGAACCCGTGGGCTCAGGCAATCCACTCACCTTAGCCTCCCAAAATGCGGGATTACAGGCTGAGCCACAGAGCCCGGCTTCACATTCATTCTTTCTCCCATTAGATTGTGAGTTCCTTGAGAGCAAGGACTGTACCTGATTTAGATTCTCAGGATTCATTCATTTATTAATTCAAATAACTATATTTACTGGGAACCACCTAATGTAGCAGGCACTTTGCTAGACAATTGGCTATATGAGGGAGAACCCCCAAAAATCCAGAATTTAGAAAAAAATGTATACTTACCTATACATTTTTAAACTTTAGTCACCTTCAGGTGCTATCTGCATGATGCAATACACTGATCAAGATGCTTTTTTCCACTGCTCAAAACAGTTTTGAACTTATCAATTTTGATGGCTTTGAGTGCTTCTACCATTTTTTGTTTTACTTCCACATTGGTAAAATGTTTCCCTTTGAGGACTTTTTTCATCTAGGGAGACAAAAAATGTCCCCCAGGGAGAGAGAAATTGGGGCATGGAAGTCATGTCAGTTTTGGTCAGAAACTGATAAACACCTAGCATGGTGTGGGCAGGTGCACTCCCATCATGAAATGGGCAAATGTGTCAAAATAATCTCCAAAAAAAATTCGCCAAAACTGAATGCAGCTTCTCACAACAATGCTAGCTGGTACACTGATGCCAGTAGGTTCCTAGAACACTTAACTAGCAGGGGAAACCTGTACTACAAGGAGCCCGCCCTCCAAAAAAGGTTTTTCTGGGGTTTCCCCTGTATATTGTATAATAGGTAATAAGTAGAGTTCACAAGCCTTGTGGAACTTCACCAATGTTGGGTCATATTTATTCAATGAATAATATGAAAATCTGGGCCAGGCACAGTGGCTCAAGCCTATAATCCCAGCACTTTGGGGAGAAAAAGGCGAGAAGATAGCCTGAACCCAGGGGTTCAAGACCAGCCTGGGCAACTTGGCAAGACATCATCTCTACAATAAATCAAAAAATTAGCTGGTGGTGCGCACCTGTAGTTCCAGCTTCTTAGAAGGCTGAGGCGAGCCGGGCTCGGTGGCTCAGCCTGTAATCCCGTGCCTTTGGGAGGCTGAGGTGAGTGGATTGCCTGATGGCACGGGTTCGAGACTTGCCTGGGCAGCGAGACCTCATCTCTACAATAAATAAAAAAATCAGCCAGGCGTGTTAGCGCATGCCTGTAATTCTGGCTACTTGGAAGGCTGAGGTGGAAGGATCGCTGGAGCCCAGCAGTTCGAGGCTGCGGTGGCCGGGAGCAGCCACTGCATTCCAGTCTGGGTGACAGAGTGAGACTCCAACTCCAAAAAAAAAAGAAGGCTGAGGCGAAAGGATTGACTGAGCTCAGCAGGTTGAGGCAGTGGTGACCGTGAGGATGCCACTGCACTCCAGCCTGGGGGACAAAGTGAGACTCCTACTCAAAAAAGAAAAGAAATCTGGTGAGCTAGAGAGGTCATTCGCAGCAGACAGCAGACCCTCTCACTGCTATTCTGCCCGTTATGCCCTTCACAAAGTATCTTTCCTTTAATAAATCTACTTTTCTTAATTCATTAAAAAAAAAAGGAAGTCATTCCTTTCCTTTGCTGTCATCCCCAACTTCTTTGCCTTTGTAGGAAACCTTCTGGCGAATTCCAGCCAAGCTGAGTCCCACCCAGCTCCGGAGGGTAGCAGCTTCTCTGAGTCAGCCAAACGAGGAGGAAAAACTACAGCTAGAACTTGAAGCTAAAGTCCCTGGAGAGCAAAGCCCGGATGAGGAGCACTGGAAAGAACATCGAGCACAAGCTTTGAGGGCTCTCTTGTTAGCCCGTAAAAAGAAAGCAGGCTTGGCATCCCCAGAGGGTAATAGTGGAACTGCTCATCAACTGAGTGTTTACAGTGTGCCAGCCATGTTGGTCTAGAGGGCTGATTTTTTTTTTTTTTTTGCGTCATTCTCACTCTGTCACCCAAGGTGGAGTGCAGTGGCATGATGATGGCTCACTGCAGCCTCAACCTCCTGGGCGCAGGCGGTCCTTCCACTTCAGTCCCCCAAGTAGCTGGGACTACAGGTGCATGCCATCACGCCAGGATAATTTTTTTTTCCTGAGTTGGAGTCTTACTCCGTTGCCCAGGCTGGAGTACTGTGGCACACTCAAGGCTCCACTAGCGCCAACCCACTGAGCTTCAGCAGTCCTTCCAACTCCGCCTTCCAAGTAGCCGAAACTACAGGCGTGCACTACCACACCCAGCTAATTTTTTTTATTTGTTGTAGAGACAAGGTCTTCCCGAGTTGCCTGAGCTGGTCTCAAACCTGTGGGCTCAGGCAACCCACTCACCTCAGCCTCCCAAAGTGCTGGGATTGCAGGCATGACCCACCTCGCCCAGCCTCATAAGGGATTTTGAGAACAGAAGTGTAATTAGTCTAGCCCAGTTTTCTAATTTTGTGTCACTTATGGTCATTTCAGAGGAAGAAGAGACTGTGAGTGGGAAAGAGCCCCTGAAGGTAGCACCCAGGAAGCGACAGCTGCTGGACAGTGATGAGGAGCAGGAGGAAGATGACGGCAGGAGCAGAGGTGGGTAATCTGGCTGGGACCTTCTGTTTCTTCTGATCCCTGTCCTCCTTCTCTTCAATCCTGAAGACAAACTCTACCACCCTCTTTACTGCCCCTTAATGTATTTAGATGTTCTCTCCTTCGGTCTCTCGCCCTGTCATTCCCATAGCACCAGAGTTGGGAGCTCCTGGAATCCAAAAGAAAAAACGGTTTCAGATTGAGGACGACGATGAAAATGACTGAAGAGCCAGAAGCGGTAGAGATAGAGCCGCGTGTAGATGGTGAAATTAAGTTAGAATTGGAAGGGCCATGTAGGACTCAAGAGACTCCTCTCACCGGACAGATACAGTAGCGTCCTGGACTTTCCCATGGATTGAGGGAGCATGTTGAACCCCTCTGCTGTCATTCTTTGCTTCTCCCAGTCTTAACAGTCGCCTGAGCAGCTTTCTGGAGAGGTACTCTGCTTCCAGGAACCACTTCTTTTGGTTACTAGAGCTCCTTATTAAATGAGAGGTGTGAGTGAAATACAGAAAGAACCCTGGATCCCTCTTTTGTTTGTATTTTTTTGTTCTTTTTTTTTTTTTGAGTAGGAGTCTCACTCTATCACCCAGGCTGGAGTGCAGTGGCATGCTCATGACCGCCACAGCCTTGACTTTCTGGGCTCAGGCAATCCTTCTGTCTCAGCCTTTCAAGTAGCTGGAACCATAGGCAAGTGCCACTACACCCAGCCAATTTCTGGATTTATTGTGGCGACAAAGTCTCACCATGTTGCCCAGACTGGTCTTGAAACCCGTGGACTCGGGCAATCCTCTTGCCTCAGCCTCCCAAAGTGCTGGGATTATAGGCATGAGCCATTACACCCAGCCCTGGATCCCTCTTATTGGTTGTTCCCTTTGGGCTTCTCTTGGAGGTAGGTCACAGCAACAGATGGAGAGTTCTGTCACATGATGAGTGGGGGTTTTACACAATTAGAGGTCACCAGATGTCTCTGTCCTTGTTTTCTTTCCTATGATTATCCCCTGGGCACCAGCTTGAGCCCAGTTCCTGCAGGTGAGGCAGGGTCTAGATAATTAACGTTTGGTTTGTGTTTGATACTGAATTAAACATGTAACATTAAAAGTTGTGGATCTCTCGCGACCCGCCTGGGCAATTTGGTGAGACCTCATCTCTACAATAAATCAAAAAATCAGCCGGGCGTGGTAGTGCG